GCCCATGATGGCCGCTGCTACAGACCTGCCCATGATGGCCGCTGCTAAGGGGAGGGAGTTGACGGTGACCGAGACGTTGGAAACTCTTAGTCTGGGTCTGAGTTGTCTTGTGGATAAATCACATCTTGTCTCCTTTAAGAGCACTTCTTGTGAGTTCCTCTGTCAGAGATGCCCATCAAAGATGTTGGCCTGGTGTTTCACGGTTGTGTGAACACCTGGTAGAGCAAGGCCCCTGTGTGTCAGCACGCCTGTGTACCTGTCCTTGCACACCTCTCCCGTGGGAGTGTGACTGTCTCACACACGCCATTTGATGTGCAGGGGATGTGGCAAAGCTCCGTGTCATACTTGGTTCTTAGTATGGGTCTGAGGGGAGTCCATGCTTAAGGTTGCTTTTCTGTTACTCTGGGCTGACGGTGGGTGGTGTAGACACCTGCTCCCACTCGCCACCCCCCCACTCTCTAGTCTCCTCGCTTCGCTTTGGTTATCAGGTATTCTAGGAGCCCTCATACCCACAGAGACTCTTCCCTTTGCCCTTTGCCCAAGGTCTGCCTGGAGGATTGGACTCAGCTCTGTGTGCCGGGCCTAACGTGTCCCATGCCCCGTGATGACAGGATTGAGGCCTCCACTGTGGTCCGGCTCTAACGAGACCTCGGGGCACTTTTGAGCATTGTTTTAGCTCATTTCAGTAAAACCTGTGGCCTCAAAAACATCAAGTCGTTCCTTTGTGATAGTGAGACAGTGTATGAAGTAAATGTGACCTCTCCTGAACACCGAATAGAAAGATTTCCCAGCACGGTGTCTGCTCCGGAATCAGATTAGTGCTGTTCGCTCTGACAGAACAAACGGCTGCAGAAGGACCGTTGTGTGGAATGCATGGGATGTAGTGACAGGAAGGTCATGTGGCTGGGATTACATTTGGGCATCACGGCCAGAATGAACCCTAGGCTTTTCTGCTCACAGGCCACCTAAGACTCATCTTGCACAGGCCACTAAGACTCACTCTTAGTGAGTGGGGCGGGATGCAGTAGGCAGTTCTGCCAATAACCAGCGAGTTTCTTTGAACTGGGGAGCCTGCTTGCTGTGACTCATCCTTCCCTAGTTTGTTCCCAGGCTTTCGTCACATGGAAACAGGAACGTGGAGGCCGAAGTCGCTAAGGTTTTAGGCTAGCTCATTCTTGGGTTACGTTTGCTTATTCTAGGTATTCATACTGATTATTGCTGGTCTGTGGTCTGGCAGAGAAGCATGCTGAAGTCTCACCTCTCTCTAAACTCATGCTGTCTCTTAGACTTATTGCCACTGTTCTCTTACGGTCAAGGTCATGGTCACCCAGGACTGACACCTTGCTAGTGTGGATCCAGCCCTTGGGGTGCACGTTTGCTTTGCCATAAGGCCTCAGCAGGTCGGCTCTCATCTGTCCGGAAGGACGGAAGTAGCTCAGGCCTTTGTGTTTAACCCCAGATTGACTTACCCTTCTTTTCCAGTAGCTTCTTGGTTTAATTCCATGTTTAAGGTCTTGTGCTCCATTGGCCCCTTTGCCCTCCCTTACCTTGAAAAGTAACTTGTGTTAATTCATCATAGAATGTTCTGGGTCTTTATGGAAATTCTATCTTTTGCTAACAGATTTTGGAACTGTCAGAATCTTACAGAAATTTGTTGTCAGAAAGCACATCTGTCACAGATTGGGGCGTAAGCTGCCTTCTTCTTTCCTCCTGACTCTCATAGTTTAGTCTTGATAGGACACATTAATTTAGAACCAGTTTATCTCATCGTTAATGCCAGGAATGTACTTTGTTATGACTATCAATGTCCTTCCCTAACATTAGCTAATTAATATTCAAATTGGGCTTTAGAGGCTCTGGGCTTTTGTTGTAGATTGTACAACACTATTTATGCTAAAATCATTTCAGGTGATACTCAAAAGTTGATGGAGTTTAACATATGTACACAAAAGATGCCAAATTACCCAGTTGAAGCAATATTTGAAAATTAATTCACTTATTGACAAAAATGTATTGACAGCTCCCATGTGCCAGGTCCTGTGTGGGTTGGGGAGATGAAGTCTGTGGATAAGGCTGGTGGGTGGTTTACAAGAGGGAGTAGGAATGGTGTCTGCCAGAGCAGAAGCTGGGTGTCTGGGAGCTGCTGCTGGGGCAGGGGACTTGAGCCCAGCGTGGGGGAAGAATCAAGGAGGAAGAACATGAAGAACAGTGTGAAAGCCAGCCGGCTGGAGGAGGGCTTGGTGGCACGGGAGGCAGAAGTGTGGGTGCATGTCTGGAGAAATCAGAGCATCGGGTCACTGTGTGAAGTTGTCATTCAGAGGAAAGCAGAGCTTGGAAGCAGAGGGGTGACATCCAGATTTCAGCTCTCGGGCTGGACATGGGGCCAACCAAGAAAATGAACCCTTGGAGGCAGTGAGTGGGTCCCGGTGAGAGACTGTGTAACCTGCTCGGCCTAGGCACTGAGGAGGAGGGGTCTGAGAGACGTCAGAGAGGAGTCAGGTAGGATGTAGGTTGTGGATGAGGAAAGATGGGGATCTGAGCTGGCCTGGGTCCTGTCCTAGTCCTTGGCCTGGGTAGGACATTTCCAGCATAATTCAGGCTGTTGAAGAAGACTTTTAGCAATACTTAGTAAGCAGGTATCTCAGGGAAAAAAAAAGATCTTGACAGCAATCTTTATGCTTAATAGCTATCTACATTCAGTTTATTCAAGGTCAGCTAATTCGACTCTGAGATATGAATAATTGAGTTATAAGATACAGTTTGGAGAAGAAGGCTCTCACCTCGATGGGTTAATTCCCTGTCCTGTGCAGCTGTGACACAGTGGTCCCCAGGAGCTGCCCTGCGCCTGGCATGGAGGACATGCACTGCAGTGTTGTGTGATATTTTGATCGTGCTCTGACAAGTGAAGCCTGCTAGTAGTCAGAGGGCAGAGTTAACCACTAGCTGACCAAACTTAACCACAGAGGTTTTGGAAGACCGTGGACAGAGAGAGGAAGTAGTAAGGCACAGGGGTGGGTGTGGGCTGGGGATCTGGCTCTCTGAACAAAGGAATGGAGCAGGTAATGAGAACTGCTGGCTTTTCTGATCTTTCAGGTTCTTAACTCAATATCTGACTCCTGAATTTTTATTGCTAAAAAATGATTAGAGTAATGCTTCATCTGATGGCCAGCGTGGGACACCATATGTAATTGGACGTTTTCTGTCCCAACTACCTGCTCCCAAATTACTACATAGAGGCTCATGTTACTTATAAATCAGCCAATAGCTCAGGCTTAATGACCAGCTAACTCTTACATTTAAATCAACCCATTTCTATTAGTCTGGGTATTGCCATGTGGTTCATGGCTTTCCATGTCCTCCAGCATGTCTTCCCAGGCAACTGCCAGGCATCTCTGTGACTCTGCCCTTCTTCCCCCTAGCGTTTTCAGTCTGGCTTTCCTGTCTAGCCTTGTTCTGCCTTGCTATAGACCAACCAGCTTTATTATCAACCCATGAGAGTGCTACATATTCACAGCATACAGAAAGATTATTCCTCACACTGTGTGGGAGCCTCTCTTGGCAGATACTCCAGTGATCAGCTGTCTAGGGAAACTCTCCTGCAGTGTGAGTGCACACAGGACCTGGAGCACGTCACTTGTGTCTCTACAGTGTGCACAGGCCCCTTCCTGCCATACACCTTCAGTAGTAGCTTATGCTAGGGATCAGCCTGGGGCTTCTGGTCTTCATGTCCCCCAGCCTTTGTGAGACCAGTCACTGCTTCTTTATGAAAAGGAGCGTCCAGGAGGATCGCCGGTTTGCGTCCTCTTGATAGCGTGAAGTTTCCCAGCAGCTCTTCTTGTGAGTTGGGGCATTGAGGTTTTTGCATTGAGAACCACAGAACAACTGTCATGGCTGATACTGTCAACTTGCAGGGTCTAGAACCCCGTGGGAGACCCACCTCTGGGTGTGTCTGTGAGGGTTTCTAGGTTAGGCTGTCTGTGGTGGGAGGACAGCAGTATGTGTGGGGAGCATGTTCCATGGGCTGAGATGCTGGGCTGAACAGAAAGGGTAAATAAAGCCTGCTGAGCAGAGGCATTTCTTCCAGCGGGTTCTTCCGGTTCCCCCTCCCCTCTTCTCTTTGCCCTTGAGCTGTGAGCTCAAAGGTCCCGTCCGTCCCTGAGTTACTGGTGATCTGTCACAGCCGCGGGGAAAACACTTGCACATCTGCACTTCGGTTTCCCTCATCAGACTTAGAAATCAAATCTACTGTGCTTCCTGGTGGCCCGATTGAACCAGCATGGGACCTAGCAAACCTCTGAAGTGACTGGTTTAACCCTGTCGTCTCTTGGGCCTTTTTTATACATGAACTCGGGAGCAGGGAGCTAATTTGCTGCTGTGCCTGAGGGTCATCTTTTCCTGTACATGTCCTGTGTAAGCCTGTCCTAGGGCCCAGAGCCCAGGACCTTCAGAAAAGCCATGTCACCGATTCACAGGTCTCTAACAGGAAGTACGAGGCTTGTGGCCGTGCCTTGAAAATTACATGAGAGTTTACAGCACAAGTTTACAGAAGGCAGCTCTGGCCACATGACCTGTTGTCTGAACTGCTTGCTTTCTTTCAATTATTGTAAAAAAACAAAATAAAAACACAAACTTAGGACATGATGAAGGGTTGTGGCCTTGAGTTTAGGAACTATTTCCTCCTCAGTGGAAGGACATTCAAGTGTAGCCTCCTGATGGGAGGGCAGGTCCTCACAGGACACTGTCCTGTCTTTGTTTAATGTGCTCCATCACGAGGGTGGACAGTATTCCAAACCAAGTTTCCAAGGAGAGTTTTTACTTAAGGATGACGTATCATGTCCATGTTTATGTTCTGATATTCCTCAACATCTGTCCTTAGGGAAAAAAAAAAACAAACACTTTTTGAAAATTTCATGCTAAAGTGTGGGTGTTCCTTCGGAAAAAAAAAAAACAAAAAACACTTTTTGAAAATTACATGCCAAAGTGTGGGTTTTCCTGATCCATGGTAAAAACTGTCTAATATTTCAGAGAAACTGTTTTGATTATTATTTTATTGTTCAACAATTCAGATTTAAACTAGTAACTGGGCAGAATCTTGGGTAAATTGCTTGCTGCTTAGCCTGAGGACCCAAGTCATGCATGAAGTTTGGAAGGGCATCCTGCACATTGTCCCCTGACCTCACACATGCTCTGCAGTGTGCATGCCTGTGTGCACACACTGTGATTACACACGTGGAGTAAGATATTTTTAAAAGGAGTTACAAGAACTTTTGAAACCAACCCCCCCTCCCCCAATTTAGCGTTTTGCTGTAATGTGAACTAGAGCATCTTGATTTGTTTGGATTTATTGTCAGAATTTAAAGACTATGATTAATAGGTTTTTCTTTATTATTCTAAATGTTAGTTTAAAATAGTTAAGCTGGAGAAATAATTCCATTAGTCAAACTAACAAGAAATGTAAGAAAGAAAAGAAAGAAAAGGCAGCCGGTCCTGCCTCTCTGTCATCCTGTGCTTGGGCGGTGGAGCTGGCACACCGAGGTCTGTGACCTGCGTCTTTGGCCCTTTCTCACCAGTGTGCTTGTAGACTTTTGATGTCACAGTTCTGATACGAGATTTTATTCATAAAACCAAACAGCATCTTCAGAACATCATCTGTTTTCTCTAGGTATAGTCTTCTACCAGATGTAAGCGTAATCGCGGACTTCACCGCGGTCACCTCACCTTGGCCCTGCTGGCTGACTGCTGGCTGGGCTGAGGCCAAGGGCCCTGAGGTTTGGTGTCCAGTTGTGGGTTAGCATCCACAGCCCTTGCTCCGTGGCTTTTTCTGTGTGCCCTTTACGGCGTTTCGGCTTGACAGACCCTCATGATTGTACAGCTTGGCCCTTTGTCTTACAAGGAGAGAAGGGGAATTTGATCTCACCTGGCTCATGGAACACTGAAGCAGGTTGACCTCTGGCCTTGTCTCTCAGACGTTCTCCGATTCTCTTTCTGGTTTCTGCTGTCTTGGCCAGCAGACATTCTGTGTGAGACCTGCTTTTAGAACCTTGAAACTAAAGCACCAGGCCCCCACCTCTCTGGGCAGCACTGTTTAGGCTCACGCCTGCCTCCCACTTGTCTCTACTAGTCTGACTTAGAGCCTAACTCTTCTGCTTCTCCACTGTGGGACCTGTGTGTGCAAACCAAGGGAAGCGCTATCAGGTTCCCACAGATGGATGTGGCATATGGCTCCATGTTCCCCTGGAAGCTCTGTTGTTCACCTGGGAATCTGCTCCGTCCCGTAGACGTGTGCTTTGCAAACCTCCGTTCCTTTGCTTGGAGCCAGGTCTGCCATTGCTGCCTGCTCCCTGAAGCCCCTGATGCTGTCTAACTCTGGAGACGATTTCCTCGTGCTGCCCCCATGAAGACAACAAGGTTAAAGCACAGTATTTATGCTGGAGTAAAATGAGCTGCCCTAGAACCAGAGGCCTTGGTTGCCTCTGCCACTTTGCTTGTGAAGAGCACCCTGTGTTTCTGGGTCTTTCTAAGAAAATTCATAAGATAAACGCTCTTGGGACTGGAAGACAACTCAGCTTGCCTGATGTTTTCTTTCTTTTGCAGGGGAGAGACCATACCAGCCCAGGGACTGTGCCAGCCGGGCCCCTCCGAAAGGGGACCTAGAGACACGCCGCCAGCGCTCGGCCCCGTGATGGTGTTGACCGCAACCTCACGGGCGATTGGAAGGCTCCCAGCAGTGACCATGGCCACCTTGGAGAAGAGGAGCCAGGGTCTCCTGACCAGATAACCTTCGACCTGGGAGCTGCTATGCTAGAGCAGACCAAGGGAGATGCCTCCCTTTGGTCACAATTAGGGACAGCGAAGATGCTATGCCTAGAATTCCGTGTAGCTCTTTCACACACATGTATGTGCTCATAACCATGGCCTGTGTTTCCTCATGGTAAGCGGTGGTACTGGCAGGCACTGTGGGAGCTCAAGGCATCGGTATTACTTAAAGACAAGCATGAGACACTGGAAAAAAGATACTGGTGTGTTTTGGATGGAGGGACAAGCTAAGCCCGGTAGGAGGGTGCTCCAATGCTTGAAAGGACAGGTGACGCGGTCAGGACTTGGGGGCGCAGAGGCCTCTCCCTGCCTCAGTGGGTATTCAATAGCAGGTCAGACGGAGGGTGGTGGTCAGGAGCTGTAGGGCTTGCTGGTGCTCACGCTTGGGAAGGCAGGGCGATGACAGACTGAGCCTCACAGTCCAGAGGTCTGGCCATGACCCCCCCTGAGCCGCTCACAGCCCCCTCCTGCTCTGTGTTTTCACCACGTGGGCCGTGCCTGGCACAGGAAACATGGCAGAGGTGGGAACACATCTAAACCTACTTTGGAAAAGAGAGTTAGTTGAACACTAAGAGCAGGCGTCTTTGTTTATTCTCAGGACCTTTTTGTAACAGGGCTCCATTCTGCAAACTGCTCACAGGAGAAGACTATACGTCTTACCAGATGAAGCCACTGACTCCTCCCAGTTTGGGCCTGTTTTAGTGATGGCAGAAGAATCCTTGAGCAGAATGGGGGCCCTAAATCATTAGGGTGCTAATGCTCTGGAACCTTCTGCTCCCCTCCCCATCCTAACCTCTTCCCTACACCACCCCAGCATATAGATGTCTTTCCCCCTTGGGCCTGGTGACCACCATCGGACTAGTGACATTGTTCACAGTTGGTGGGAGGGCACCAGGCCTGAGGGTGAGGGCGGCTTTATATACCTCTTCCTTAGTCACGCAAGTTCACGCTTCTGCGGTGGGGTGAAGGCCCTAGCAGAGGCCCTGAGCCCACGCAGCGTGTGCGTTCGGAACTGTACTCCGCAGGTAGCAGCGTTTCCTTTCCCCGTTGCTATGACACTGTGTGTGATGGCGATCCTTCTGCAAGTTCCAGATGTTTGCACATATGATTTTATGCATTATCGAAAGTTACTGCTGCCTTGAATGAAAACGTTCTGTGAAATTTTTTGCAAAAGCTTTACTAGTTTTTTTTTATTGTGAAATTTTGTAAAGGCAGGAAATGGATTAAGACGAGCATGCTAAATATATTTTTCAAAAAAAGCAATAATTTTACATGTACAGAAATTATCCTAACCTTTAATATACTGGTGAGAGCGACAGTTTACTTAACACGATAGTGGATCAGCGCAGTTTTTGTAGGAAATGGGCTTCTGATACAAAGACTTGTTCAAACACACATGTATACATGAACCCTGGCGTGTGGTTTCTCTGTTCTAATGATCTGTTGGATTATTATTATTATATTATTATTATTGTTATTGTTATTGTTAGCTAATGTTTGATTCTGGATTCTACTTGTTACTGTTTTAATTACTTGACCGTTCAGGTGACTGCGACACTTGCAAGCAATGCAATGTTAACTGGCTAGCAGATACATATATGCATATATATGTATATATATAATTATTTTTTTTACTTATTTTTTTTCCTGATCCTCCTACACCAGGTATGTATGAGAAAGGCTTGCCACGTCCGAGTGCTTGGGAATGTTGATGGTTCTGAGACATTACCTTGAACAGGTTGTAGAGACACATTCCTCTCTCCGCCTGAGGCAGCAGAGTACCTTTCTGTTAATTCGTGTTTGATCATTCTGATAGCCATTCTGATAGCTCTCCCCCCCACCCCCATCGTTTCTGCATTCTCTGGCTTTTTGTTTTCTTGGCTGAACGTGAAGGTGGCAGTTAGGATGTGCGGGGCTGTGATTTGGCCCCATCTCTTTCTGTGTTTTAGTTATTAAAAAGTTCTGTACACAAAGGGACACAAAGGTGTCGTCTGCGTTTTTACTGTGTCCGAAGCTACACTTGGCATCGAGAGCTGGAAGGGTCTGTCTTCCAGTGGGCCTCCTTCCCAGTTGGGTTGGGGAAAGACGGGTGCATGGGGTCCCTGCAGCTGAGTGTCTATCTGAAGAGCAGCCAGGAGAACAGCCAATCCCAGGAAGGCCTGGTTCTCAAAGCACAGAGATACAGTTTTCATGTGACCACAAGGCCGCGAGCTCCCCGCCCCCTCCTGCCCCAGCTCACATGTGCTGGCCTGGGTGTATGGCCTCTTTGTCCTGCTGCCCATCAGTATTGGACTGGTTTGTTAATTCATTCATGTTCAGCTCCACCGTAGTATTTAATATGATTCGTGTTTTCTTATTTATTTAGCCAGTCTGTTTTGATTTGCTCCCCCTGCGATAATTTCCGCATTTCTGACTGTTACAGAGTTCCTACTACCTCTTTGAATCTGCTGTCTCCTTGTTTCCTAACGGGATTTTTACAGTGTTGCGTCTAATGTACCTTAGACAATAAAGGGTTTGATTGTCTACACTGCAGCTGCTCTGTGTGTCTGCCCTGCCCTTCCACCCTGCGCTGTCCCTGGTCCCTGCCTTGCTCAGTCCTCCCTTGGCCTCTTTGTCTCCCCTTTCTCTTACCTCTTCTCTCACACTTCTTCCTCCTTTCAAATGCAAATAACATATGGAGTTTTTCAGAAATCTTTTAGGTGATTTAGTCTTTCTTAAGTCAGAGAATGAAGATTTAAATTCACAAATAATAAATAAATAGTGGATTCTAGCCATCTCCCCTGCGGAGTTGCCCAGGGTACTTGTCCACACTTCTGCTGCCTCTTGCGATTCTCTTCAGTCTTAGGAGGAGACAGTTCCGCCTTCCCGGCGTAGTACAATTTCCCAGTCTAGTGGACTTTGCCTTTTTAGTTCTGACAAGTATTTGATATTTTAAGAAGTTTTCCCCAATATTTACTTATTTATTTTTTAAGTCCTGAAAGACACTGGTTTCTGAAAAATAGGTGCTCCAGGCAGCACAAGGTCACTCCATCAAAAGAAGAGCACCAGTGTCCCGGTAGGCTGCAGGGAAGCCTCTTCTGATTGGCTGCTGGGAGGCACCTGGCCAGGAATCACAGGCCTTCCAGGTGCCCGTTCAGCACAGCAGGTGGCCCGTTCTACCTCCCAAAGGCTGGTGACTGGTGATCTATTCACCACCTTGGACCCAGGAGGTTGGCCACTCTCTGGGCAGATCATGCAGGTCACCCAGGGGGTGCCCTTCTCTAGGGAAGAAGCGCCCCCTGGCCTTGTGAGAGACTTTGACCAACCTCTGTAAGACAGGAGGACCCTTCCCTGCCACCACTTGCAGAGCGTGATTTGTTTTTTAAGGCTTACCAATCTAGCAACTTCTAATAGCAACTTGTATTGGCTGAGACAACAACAGCAACAAACAAAGCCCTGCTGACAAGGCCTTGTAGGACACTGGTCATTGCTGCAAACGGCAGCACCCCGGGGACAATGTCTTCATGAGTGACCACCAAGCAAACTTCCTCCTTCACCAACTTCACTAACTATTCTTTGAGGTGGTAAGACGCAGAAGACCATAGAGTTTGTATTTCTTTTTAAAAATACAGTTTATAATGCTATATTTTGTACTCTTTATATTAGAATTTGTAACTAGATGGATGTATTTAACTATTTCTGAGAAAAGATTCAATGTTACAGCTGTGTGATAAAAGATATTTAGATAAAACCTATTCACTCTATTGGAATTTGAAATAAATAAAGACGCCTTGGAGCTGTAAGGTATTTGCCCCTCCTTTAGAAGGTGGCTTACATCATCTGACAGCCTGTCTTGACCTGTGCTCATTTCTTTATATTGGCTGAACATAAGCCAAAATGTTACTATTCTTGATTTGTATAGTTTTATAACAAGCCACAGGACGATTCACCTAAAAAGATGCCAGATGGACCCCTCCCCTCCTCATCTTTTGTGGATTCCAGGATATGCCTTTTTTGCTTTGTTTTAAATGAAAAGCCTTTTTATTATTTTTTTTTTTGCTATACACCTTCTCTTCTGCTACATGAACACGGCTTTAGTATTTGCAGCAAAATTAGACAATCCCTGGGTGCAGCGGAAGTCATAGTAGGGTGTGGGGAGGGGCTCTGGGTGCTGCCAGCGTGCTGATCTGCCTCAGACTTCGGGCATTTGGCAGCCTAGGACCTTTGGCCCTCTGATTAGGTAATAAAAATGGAATCTGCCCATCAGATGTCTAACTATAAAGCATGACTTAAAAGTAAAAGAGGTACCTGTATGTCTATGAGCCCCCGAAAAAGGGATGAACAAGTCCTTGCGCATGGCTTTTGACAACACGAAAGTGGCCATCACTGCATTCAGTGCCCCTAACGCAGAGCTGTGGGCAACCTCACTCTCCCCCTCCTGCTGTGCTTCAAGGCAAATAGCCAGTTTTGAGGGATTTCCTAAGAGGTCTCAGGATTCTCAGGATCGAGCAGAGGAAGTACAGCCTGCTCTGGCTCAGGTGAGCTGTGTGGCTCTTCTGGACCTCCCTGCCGTTGGATGGCTGGCTCGTAAAAGGATGAGATGTGGAGTGAGAAGATGGCCTTACCAGGTCATCACAGGGCAGCTGAGGTGGAGGTGGGCTGAGCTACAACAGCCCCTGAGATGTGACAGAGCTAAGCTCAGCCCAGATCCTCGTGATTCGTCAATAGGCGACTAGCTCCCAGGCTGGTGACTAGCTCTCAGGCTGGTGACTAGCTCTCAGACTGGTGACTAGCTCCCAGGCTGGCGACTAGCTCCCAGGCTGGTGACTAGCTACCAGGCTGGTGATAGCTCTCAGGTTGGTGACTAGCTCTCAGACTGGTGACTGGCTCCCAGGCTGGTGACTGGCTCCCAGGCTGGTGACTGGCTCCCAGGCTGGTGACTGGCTCCCAGACTTGACGCTGCTCCGGTGTTCACATCTGAGACACACATTTTCCCTTATTCTGCATGGAAACACTCTGTTCTTCCAGGAAAATAGCCCTGCTACTTTCTCTGTTAACCTTCTCTGCGCGAGAGGAAGGGCATGCATGCAGCCACAAACTGCCTAGGACACTTCCTGACTCTTGGGGATGACGGGAAAGGACCACTCAGTGATCACCATGTGTCTGATCTGGATGCGAGAGCTAAAAATGGTTGTGTCACACATCCACACACATCTGACATACTGAAGGGATGAAACTAATGGTGCCAGTCAGCATAAATTCCTAATTTGTGGTCAGTCTTTTTTTTTTTTTTTTTTTTTTTTTTAGGCAAACACTACTAGATTGAAAAGTGAATTGTGGCTTTTGGTTGTGGCCATATTTGTTCATTACATACTGAACTGACACAAAAGCTAGGAGTCTTAAAGGGAGTCCTGTAGGGTGTAGGAACATGGGATCTGACCGTCCATCAGATTCCCATACTCTGAACTGAACACAAGACCTAGGACAACTTCTAGGGAGTACTGTAGGGTCACGGGTGGGCTTTGTGACATCATCTCTGGGTGGAAGGGAGAAGCTCCTGCCACCTCTTTCATAAGGACACTGATCCAACCCAAGATGGCTCTGCTCTGAAGACCTGATCATCCAAAGGCCCCATCACTTTAGGTCACCACAGTGTGGGATAAGTTTCATTGTGTGTATCTTGGGTTTGTGCAAACACTCGGCGACAATGTCTCCTCTCTTCTGAGGAAGATGTGTAGGATCTCACACTAAGTCCTTGGCTCGGCAAAAATAGAACATCGGAGTGAACTGGTGACAACATCTGAAGGGCAAGGGGGTATGGATCACAAGGGGGTATGGATCACAAGGGCAATGTATAGGTCCCAAAGACGCTCCCTTCCACTTAACTCATATGCCACCCTCCACCTTTTCTGAACTCTTCTAGAGTCACAGAAAGGGTGGGACTTAGGGAGCCAGAGGACAGGGCTATGTTCACAAAGCTGACACAAATGAAATGTCCTGAAAGGTCTGGAGATTTCAGCCTTGAGGTTGGGCGGTCTTCTCAGCTGAATGCAGCCCAGACCCAGCATCAAGAGTCATCAGGAGATTAGCTATGGGACAGTTGAGACGTCCAGTACCCTGGAGTGCTTTTGGTTTGTTTTCGAGGAATGCTATCTGTAACATGAGGGGGTCCTGCTTGTTTGTGTTTTCTGTCCCCACCTGGTACCTCCCAGCTGTATAGTCCCAGAGAAAAATCACACAAAGGACTCTGTAAGTTATAAGGCTGATTAGCCCATTAGGTCAGGCTTCTTACTGGCTAACTCTCACATCTTGATTAATCCATTTTTCTGATCTATGTTAGCCATGTGGCTCAGTACCTTTTTTAGTGGGGCAGCTCACATCCTGCTGTTTCAGTGATCTGGGCAGGAGTGGGAAGAATCAACTTCCTCCTCCCCAGAATTCTCCTGCTCTCCTTGCATCATTTCCACTTTCTGTCTGGTTTTCCCACCTACATCTCCTGCCTGGCCAATCAGCGTTTATTTAAAACATGATTGACAGAATACAGACAATTCTCCCGCACCAGCTATCTAATCTTGCTCAGAGAGCTAGGGCAATGGGGTGTCTCACTCTACCAAGAGTTTTGACTCCACTAAAATTGTGGGACGTGTACAGGAATAGGTAGGTGTTAGAAGTCTGCCAAACGCATTGACTGCCAGGAGCTAACAATCGTGTTAGATGCTGACATAGGGAAAAAGAAAAAACCTATACTCTGGGCTCACAGTGGAGCAATGAGAATACCCAGAGGTGATGGGTTCCAGTCCAGGGGGCTGTTCTGTGTATAAGGATGTGCATGGAAGGGACAGAGGACACTTGGAGACCAGGGGTCCAAAGCCATATGCCTATGCATGCCTAGGAACAGGTCACCTCACATCCCAGGGGCAGTCACGACATTCACAGCTCTGTTCATACGGCTGAAGATTAAGGCAGAAAACAGTAGTGTTTCTCAGAGAAGCCCAGGGAAATTGATTTGCGGTGATGGAGCGCATCAGGAACGTATCGTCAGATTCTCCAGAGGGAAGGTAGCAAGAATCCTTGCCAGTTACTGCTTGATGGCAGGCAGGGTGAGCAGGAAGAAAAGGTGTCCACCGACTACCGTGATCCTGAGGAGAGAACAGGTTGGCTCGGTGCAAAGACAGTCAGTATTCAAAGTCAAGGACTTAGACAGTAGGCTTGAGAAACTTGTCTCTGAAGCTGCCTCTGGCCAGGTAAGGGGTCAAGAAAGGACCAGGCTGAAGGAGAGCCTGTAAAAGTTCCTGGGTCTGAGGCACAGGTGTGGGTAGTGGCCATCTTCTCCTGGATCTTCTGACTTGTCCCGAAAGAGGGGTGACACAGGTGGAGAGGAGCGTGCTGTCGTTTTAAGGTGACTCTGTCCTGGAAAAGTGGCGTTGTCGTCTCAGTCCTATCAAGGACCAGCATCCCTAACTCCATTTTCTGGTGGAAAGCAGAACTAGAGGGCCATAGAAAGAACCAGTAAGCACTTGCAGTGATCAGGCTCTGGGCTGTGGGCTCAGATCTGCTGTGGTTTATGTGTCCCTAGCCTGTGTGCCATGGGATGCCACACCTATGGTGAGGAATGAGGAGGCCACTCTCTGGTACACAGGAACATCTCACATGGATCTGGAAATCACTCAGAGAGGTAAGAAGGGTAGGATTCTGCCAGTCCATTAAGGAGACCTGGGGCTTTGGCTCTCTGAGCCTTTCCCACAGAGGCTGGCTTTGTGTCTCGTAGCATAAACAGAAAGCAGAGGTGAACTCAGATTTTGAAGTTACAGGGTGACTTTCATGGCAGTCGTAGTGCCTGCAGAACCCAGAATCCATTAGTTTCTTCCTTTCTTCAACTGGCTGGGTCTTCCCTCGCTCACACTGCTGTTCAAGCCGCCCCCTTGTCACAAAGTTGGTGTTGATGGTTCCTTCTTCCATCACACCTCTCTCTCTTTCTCTTTTGTAAAAGGTTTCATGTAGCCCAAGATTACTTCAAGCGTCAAATTCCCTTCAGCCAAGGGTGACTTTGAACTTCTGTGCCCACAGCTCAAGTGCTGGGATTACAGGCATGTGTCACTTCTGCCTGGTTTATATCCTGTTGTTCTGAGGATCGAGACCAGGGCTTCATTCATGCTAGGCAGGCACTCTACCAACTGAAGGTCTCTTTATTTTTGTTTGTTCAAATGAACTAGAATTTGTTTCCCACCTAAAGCGGTGGAGGCCTCAGACAATGATCACGCTGACTGTGGTTGAAGCAGAATTGTTTGCCTATTTAACACCTACTAAAGAAGGGTTGATGGGGCATTTTTGGAAGAACCATCTATAAAAACCATCCACTTTTTGGTGTCTAGGCCTTTTGTAGGTTTTTGTTTGTTTTTGGTTTTTGGTTATTGGTTATTTTCTGACTACACAGGCCAGGTTGGTCCAGAAATCATGATCCTCCTGCCTCCATCTCCAGAGTGGTAGGAACATAGGTTTTCTCGAGAATGGGCTCATCAGCTAGTGATGCATAGGACCATTAAAGGGCTCTTGTATGTGGAGTAAGGTAGCAATCTGGTTTGGTCTGGTCTGGATCCACAACCCCATCACCACACAGGCAAAGACATGACATTAGAAGCCAAGCAGGCACTTGGGGTTCATAGATGCTCCCGGGTGTCCATCTGATGCCCTGGGTGGCTTTACGGTTTGGTGCACACCTGTGGGCCAGGGTTACCTTCTCATCAGGCTAAGCTTTCAGTGTTTATTCCCCAGGACTCCTGGATCCTCTTAGCTCCCTTGAGTG